TTGAGATCTCTGGCTGCATCTGGAGAATGGGGGTGTGAACACCAGTGCAGGGCAGCTGTTACATGACGGGGGGAGGGGAAGTGATGGTGGTGTGTTCTGGGGGTTGCCAAAGAAGGAGAGTGAGGGACACAGAGATGGACGGGAGGCAGGGACAGGCCTTGGATGGCCTTGAGAAACGGAAGTATCAGGCCTGGCCATTCGGGGGTTTGTCCGCATGGCCCTCTCGCCAAGAGTCTTGGCTCTGGTGGGGCAGGGCGAGAGGGAAGGGAAGGGCTGGGCACGGCTCAGGGCAGATGACGGTCATGCTGGGCACTGGCAGTGACAGATGGGAAGAGGCCCAGCTAGCAGGTGGCAGGCAGTAGTGAAGAAAGGGACAGCCTTCTAATGATTCTGCCCTGGCTAGAAACAGCCAGCCCATGGGCAAAAGATCCCCGAGGTAGGCCCAGGACTCCCCACTGTCCACTGCCTGCCAGGCTCAAAGGAATCCTTGGGCACCTGCAAGGCAGCGGGCAGTGGGGAGGCCCTGGGTGGGAAAGGTGTGGAGTCCACAGCAGAATGAAGCTCAGGGGGAGAGGGTGAAGCTAGAGCCCCAGAAGGACAACCAGGCTCCCATGTCCAGCTGCATGCACATGCCCCACCCCAGAGGCTTCGCACAGCTCCGCTGGGCCTCCACTGCACAGACATGCAGGCCAGGGCCAGGGCAGGCGAGGTAGCTTCCAGGACCACAGAGCCTGAGTGGCTATGGGACAGAGCTCAGGCCTCAGTCCCATCCCGGCTCTAAGCAGACCTCTAAATGGGGGACCCACAGAGCCATGCACAGCGGGGTGCTCTTCTGCCTGCCACTAGCCACATCTCAGGAGCCAGCGTCCCTTCTGAGGGCTAGAAATCGGGCAGAGACCTAAGGCAAGTCCCCGGCAAGTCTGCTGTCCCCAGGCCTTGCAAATTACCCTCTGGACTCCTTCCTGGGCGCTGACTGTCCCTTCCACCTTGCCTGGTTCCCTGGACCCAAAAGGTCAGAACCCCATGTGTGGAAAGAGGGTGCAGAACCTCGAGGCCAAGGTGCCTGCTGTGCACACACAGGACCAAGCCTGGGCAAGGGGCACACATGTGAGTTGTGACCTGCAAGGGTGCATCCCCCATGCACACTTGAGGGCAGTGGTGGCGAACCTACAGCACGCGCCCTACAGTGGCTGTTTGTGTCACCGAAGGTTCACCATCGCTACTAGGGTGACCAGCCAGCACCAGGCAAGACAGCTAACAGGAAGGGGCTGGGGGAGCCCAGCCTGGCCACCGTGTACATCGGGGTGATTATCCGCATATGCCGCAGGCATGTGTGGCTCATGAGAGTGCATGGCCGTGTGGAGCCTCCTGGTCTGTGTCTATCTCTCCTGCCCCAACAACCACGGGCAGCCGTGAATTTCTAAAAATGACAAAAAGAAAATTGGGAGACACATGGCTGGGGGAAGACATGACCACTCTATATCTTCTGAAAAAAGCCCTGGTTCCCCGGCATGGGCTATTGGAGGCCCGGCACCCTCTACTGTGTGGCCCTGTCTCCTCTCTCTTCTCTAGTCAAGGCAAAATGAAACACAACTCTGGCTGCTAGACCTGAGGGCCTGGGTTCAAACCCTGCCTCTGCTATTTACTGGCAGCAAGAGCTTGGGGATGTTTTTGGGTCTCCCGATGCCTTAGTTTCCTAAATTCAAGTATGGAGGGCAGTATCTATCAGGTGGAAAGTTGAGAGGAGTTATGCTCATGAGTGCAAAGTGTTTGGCTTATGGTTGAAATTTAGGAAAGAGGAACTATCATCACCACCACCACCACCGCCATCACCACCATCACCACCACCACCACCATCCCTGCCATCATCACCATCACCACCACCACTATTACATGTGCCTAAAATCTCAGCTGTCCAAGGCCTTTAGACTCTTCCTCTTTTGCCCCACCATCAACCTTTGAAAAACCAAAAAATTCTCTGAAATGCAGAATATCACTCTCTGAGTCATTGTGAGTCCACCCAGTCTCCTTCAGCAAAGTGGGCTCTGTGCTGAGTAGCAACCTGGAAGGGTGGGGTGGTCAGCTGTGTCCCCTCCTACCGTGTCAGGTTTGACCAGATGGGACCCCATTTATTCCTCATTGCTATGCTGAGTTACTATCCAGTGGCCCCCGGCAGGGATGAGCCCAGATAGGTGCAGGGACTTTCTGAAGGTCACACAGTGATTCGGGGAGCATCCTGGCTCACACTGGTCTGCCAGCCAACCTGTCTTCCAGTCTCTGAGTGTGCTGTGTGCTGGGCAACAGTGGGCACAGCCCTGGGAGTGAAACAGAAGACTTATGTGGGCTGGGCCTGGTGAAATCACTGAAAATGTGTCATCCTGAGTCACAGGCTTGGTCCCCATGGCCTCAGAGAGACGCGAAGGTTTTCTCGGTCCTATTAGAAGGTTGGTGGTTCTGTGCAGAAAGCCAAGTCCAGGAAGGATGCTGTGGGAGACAGGGCCAGGGCTTGGGCACCAGCTCCACCAGCCCTTCCTGGGGCACCAGCACTTGTGTCCCTCGCCCTGGAGCTGGAGCTCCGGGAGCTCTGAGGGGTCCCCGTTGGCTGTACCCCACACTCCCTCAGAGAGACCCAGCAGGCCACGAGGGCAGGGCATGAGTCCAAGCCCACACAATCACCACCTTGTCCCGGGGAGACAAAGGCCAGCCCTTGGCCCTGGCGGCCAACTGCCCAGAGGGAATGACAGATCGCAGAGTTGCTGAATTTAGAACTTTACAAAATGTTAGCACCACAAGAGCTGAGATTTCTTGGAATCTCCAGAATTCAGAATAACAATGTGTCCCAATCACAGAAGGGAGAATCTTCATTTCAGAGAGCCACACACCCAGCCCTTGGGGATGTAGCACCCTGCAGAAGGCTCAGAATCACTTCCTCTGCATGTGGGCTGACTGTAGACCCTGCCTCCCAAAAGGAAGCAGTTTGGGGACTGGATAAAGACAGTTCCTGCTGGAGGAGGGTATGGAAGATTCAAGCCTGGTCCCCCACCTCCCTTTCCTCTCTCCATGAGGATGTGGCCCTCACTCAGGCCCGCGTGTGCCCTTCAGACTGTGATGTCCAGGTTATTTTCTGAATAAACTCTTTGTAGAGCCAGTGCATTAGAGTACAGGAAGGCAGCTGTGACTAGGTGACAGACACCACTCTGGGCTGATGTGTTCTCTTCCAGAGGTCTCATGAGCTGATCAAGACCAGATGTGTCCTGTCCCCGGTGCTCGGCCTATGCCCTGTCACCCCACAGAGGGGGACCAGGAAGGTGAGTGCTGACACCTGGGGGCTCTAGGGCTCCAAGTCACCATATGTGCCTTTAGAAAGGAGAACTGATGATGTGAAACTGGCCTCAGACTCCTTCCGGCCACCCAGATGCAGGAAGGATGTACAGGTACAGCCCTGAGCCCCACAGGTGGCCCACCCCTCACCCTTGCAACCACACCTGCTGGTTGGAGCCAGGCCAGGTGAGCACATGGCAAGTCCAGGCATCTGCCTGAGCCAGAGGGGAGCTGATGGCACTCGGTGGCCCTGGGTACCTTCCAGCCACACCCTCTTCTTGGAGCACAGTCCTCAGCAAAGAAGAGGCCATCCTGGTAGCCAGGCTTTCCTGCTCCTATGCAGACCCCTGACAGAGCACAGCCTGGTCACCAGGGCTCCCTGCAGGTCCCAGAGGCAGCTCCTGCTGGGAAGGAGGACCAAAGCTGCTCGGTGGCTCCCAGCCCTAATACAGCTCAAACCTCTAGGTCTTTCCAAGCCAAGACAGCTGAGTGGACATGTTAGTATCAGAGTCCTAGCAGCCCATGATCATGTATGCATGCATGCATGCGCGCGTGTGTGTGTGTGTGTGTGTGTGTGTGTGTGTGTGTGTGTGTGGTGTCAGATGCTCTGGCCAGCACTTCAAAAAGAATAGCTCATTAGGTTCCACAAAGCAGGACTTCTTCTATCACCATTTTACAGAGGAGAAAACTGAGGCCTAGGAAGATAGGATCCTTTCTCCAAACTACATAGCTGATAAGAGGCAGTGCTGAGGCTCGCACATGGGCTGCTTGCCTGACAGCTGGGTTTGGAGCCACCACACTGTGAGCCGAGGGCCTCGGGAGCAGAGGCAGAGTGGGGGTGGCCTGAGTCTTGGCCCTGGGCTCGGGCACCACGTCACCACCTACTAGGCAGCAGTCACTGTGCAGCCCCCAGCAACACCCATCCCTGCTGACATTCTCTGAGCACTCACGACATCCCAGGTCCTGTGCCAAGCACAAGAATGCCACAGTCCAGGCCCTGAAGCCAGACAGCCTGGTTCCAGAGGAGTCCCCTGTGCTGTTACCTGCAGCTGGCTCCCTGAAGGGCCACCGGCCTGGGCTCAGGCTTCCCTCCATGGAGACACACACAGGATGCTGCTGGCCACCTGCCTTCCTCCCTCTCTCCCTCCTCTACACTTTCCTTTTTTCCCCTCCTCCTCTTCCTTTCCCTCCTTTGTGGATTTTTTATAACATGTAAACAGCCCAGGTGCTGGAAAAAGCCCTCAGTTTCCCAACCAAGCCATGGATGGGTCTTGTCTGTTTTCTATTACTATAATAAAACACCGGAATCTGGTTTTTTTTTTTTTTTTTTTTTTGAGGGGGAACTTTTAAAAGAGGTTCTTTAGCCCTCAGTTTTGAAGGCTGAAAGTCCAAACAGCATGGCACCAGTGCTGGGGACAGCTACCTGATGATGACACCATGGTGGGAGCTTGCAGTACCATGTCTCTTGGTGAGAGAGGAAGCCAGCACAAGAGAGAAAGCCAAGCTTGCTCTCTGTAGCAGCCTTTTCCTGAGAAGTAACAGGGTCCCTGGAGAACTACCCAATCCCCTCCAAGGGCAAAGCCCCAATGACCTAATAATCTCTCTCTAGGCCCCACCTCCTTAAAGGTCCCACTACTTCTCACATTGTCGCCCTGGGAACCAAACTTCCAAGACACCAACCCTTAGGGGACACACTCCAACCACACCCGAACCATAGCAGATCTGAACTAACCAAAGGTTCCAAACCTTTGTTTCCAAACCTGAGAACATTTCTTCACTGTACCCAGCTAGGAAGGGTGAGGTCCCTGAGGTTCTGCAGGGGAAATCCTACGTACCCACAGTCCTGCTCTGTCCCCAGCTCTGGTTCCAGGCACTGTGACCTCAGAGAAGACACAGTGCTGCTGTGAGGTCACAGTGGAGGGCAGGGTTAAAAGTCCCAGGCAACCCCAGGGGATGGGCTGAGCAGCCTGCTGGCCGCCTTTGGATACCCCAAGCCCTCAAGGATCAGTCTGACCCAAGGTAAGGTGAGAAGCATTGGTCCAAGGGTGGCCAAGGGAAGGGGCCTGGGCCAGCTTCCTCCTTTGCCTCCTTGCCCCTCCCCCAACAAGACCCCCAAACTATTCCCAGCCTGCCTTTAAGACTTCAGCTGTTCCAGGACTCCATTCTCTCCCAGCTCTATTTTTCTTTTTCTTTTGCAATCTCCAAGAAACCCGAGCTGCCAGATGGGTGGGGGAGATGATTGTGTTCTGTCTGACATCTGGGTTGCATTAGCAGCCTGGGCGGCTGGCGCAGGAATGGCCCTCCCCTGGGATTGAGCCCTCTCCGACTTCTCCCATGCCCGGCTTAACAGGACACCAAGTCACAGGTAACCACACCCCCGGAGTCCCTGCCAGAGGGTAACCACTGCTCCCCAAGGGTGTCTCAAGTGTGTTGGAAGCTGAGGCTTGGAGAATTTCTGCTCTCAGGTCAGTGGTTGAGAAGCAGCTGCCAGGCTGGGTGTGGTTGGGAAGGGCAGAGGGAGATGCAGAGAAAGGACATTGGGTCCCTATCCTATCCCAGTCCATGCCCAGAAAGGTCAAGAGATTTGACAAGGGTTGCCCAGAAGGGCAATATGCAGAGCTCAAACTTGAACTCTGATCTTCGCACTATAAATCAGAAGCTGTTTCATTTGACCTCACCAAGATGCCCCCTCAACAGTATCAAGGCCCTTATGAGTGGTGCATGGACCCTGCCTGAACTTTAGCCAAAAGGCAGCAGAGGTTTGTGTCCCAGCATCAGAGCACCACATCTGGCCACCCAGTGCAAACCAGCCCCAGCCCTCTTCAGGGCTGTGTGGTGACTTCGTGTCCCTGGACACTTTTGTCTTTGTAGGCTTCCCCCACAAAGAATCATTTAAATTACACTTTCTGATTGTACCAGTATAAAGACAAATGTCCAGGTTGAAGTTGCAATTATATATCTTCTTTCTCCTCCTCTTCTTCTTTTTCTTTTCCTCCTCCTCCTCCCCTTCCTCCTCCTCCTCCTCCTCCTCCTCTTCTTCTTCTTCTTCTTCTTCTTCTTCGAGAATTCTCCTTCTTGCTTTGTAGTACAAGCTGGCCTTGAACTCAGTACATAGCTCAGGTTGGCTTCCGACTCTCAATGACCCTCCTGCCTCAGCTTTCCAAATGCTGGGATTACAGCCACACACTACCATAGCAGCTCTTCTGATTTCAAAAACTGAAAATGGAAACACTTCTGTGGACCCCTGCAGTGAGTTAACTAATGGTCAACCTGTACCACCCAGCTGAACTGAATCACGTGGTGCTGGGTGTGGAAGGCCCACCTGGGGATCGTTGCCAACAATTCTCCTTTTGGAGAACTGGAGGGGAAGACATGCGCTGTTGATTCTCCTGGAGAAGCTTGTCACGCTGGTTTTCCTGATGTGAACTCAGCTGTTGCCATCATTAGAGATTAGGTCTTTGCTGTCACTGAGAATGACTATGGCTCTTTTGGGGGAGCCCTGGTCCTTACCTTGAGTGTCACTTCCTGGCTCCTGTGCAGATCCCTCAGCCCGCTGACACTGATCCTTCATCCCGCTGGTGCAGAGTTTCTAGCTTCCACCACTGGCCTTTGAGCCTTCCCAGAGCAGATCCTTGATTCAGACTTGCATAAGACATTGTTGTGGCTCTGGGCCTCCAACCAGACGCATGGAGGACACTGCCATGGGCTGTAGGTCTTCAGCTGGACTTGTTCAGGACACTGCTGTGGGATCCAAGCTCTTAGCTGGATTCTTTGGGTCTCTAGTGTGTGAACAGATCTCTTGCTGTCTTCTGCATTTGACTTTTTGGGTCAAATCCTATAAATTGTGTGTCCTTGTGAACTCTGACTCAACATTACAACAATACAACAAGTATTGTGGGCCTTGAGCAGTGTCTGTACAGTATGTCATGGAGAAGTCAGTTTGGGGGACTCGTCAGATCATCAAAAGACGCTTTGATAGCCTTCATCTCATCTGATACTTTCTTAGTTTGTTCTTGACTTGTGCTTGAAAGTAAACTCCTCTTCTTCCTGGCATTTATTCCCCAATGCCTTGGCCCCACCCTGCTTAGCCTCCCTCGGGTCTGTCTGTCACCCAGTCTTCTGTCCACACTTGCAGGCTGGTTTCTGCAGCAGCCTAGTGGCCTCCAGCCTACCACCAGTATGACTGTTCCCAACAGGAATCCTAGCCAGTTCCCTAACACCTTGGATGGTTTCTCCCTGCTCTCCACACAGAGTCAGCATTTGGGCACCTGCTCTCACCATGCCCCACACCCCCTCCCTAAGGTGCAGCTCTGGCCAAAAGGGCTCTGGGTCAGACAGCAACTCCCACCTGGAAGTCACCCCCACTGGGCTGTCTTTCTCCTCTCGAAGGCCTCACATAGGCCCCAGGAGGAGCCAGACCCTCCTGGCAAACCCAGGATGGCCAGCACTGTTTCTGTGTGTCTCCCCAGGGACACAGGAGGGCCTCATCAAGCATGGACAGGCCTGGCACGCTGCCGGCTCAGGTCCTCTGGTCCTGCTCTGTTAATCTGCAGATCCCAGTGGACATCAACTGTGCCTCTCCTGCAGCTGGTGGGCTCTGCTGCCATCATAGCCGGCCCACCTGACCTCTGACTTCCCCTTGGCAGCAGATACCCTGAGGCTGGACCGACGGGAAATTACTGGGCACCCTGATGTGGTCAGACAGGGCAGCTACGGCTTTGACATACAAAACCCTTATCCTTTGTTTTTTGGGGTTTTTTTCCCCCCTAGAAGCCCATATTTTACTTTGGCAACATTTAAACTGCATTTTTTTTTTTTTGAACCAAGAACCAAACTCAGGACCTCACACTTGCCAGGCAGGTGCCATGCTGCTGAGTCACACCCACAGCTCCCAGCCCATCTTTCTAAAGAAACCAATTTTCTGGAAATAATGGTAAAGACCAAGTCTGGGTGCAAAGGGCAGTGGCAGGATGTCTTTGAAAAAGCACAAGTTCAGGAGTTTCTAGGCCTTGAGTTGCAACCCCAGCTTTGAGACCTTAGGCAAGTGTGTGAACGCTGCATGACCTTAGGCAAGTCACTTCACATCTCTGGGCCTCAGTTTTATCAAATGACAACTGGAGATCCCTGTAGCATCTTGCTGAGAGACCTAAATGAACTAACAGATGCTCACTTAGTAGTAACATGCTAAGCTCAGTGTTACACTCAGTTTTTAGGGGAGATGTGATATGACTGTCACCCTTGGGCTCCGTGGCTGGCACACCGTGTGGGGACTGCATGCCTGTAGGGTAAGAAGCAAGCTGCAGACCCTCCTGGCTGTTCTGCCTTCTTGGGCCAGCACTGGTGGTAGCAGGAGGTGAAGCCCTGCCTGACCCAGCTGCCCTCATCGGGGAGCTTCCCTTCAGCAACGTTCAGAATTGGCTCCAGCACCTTCTGCCTCTGCTTAGGGGCTCCCCATTTTCCTGCAGTGCCCAGTGCCACTACGCTGCATGTGGAACATATGGGATTCCCATAAGTTCAAAAAGTAGAACTCTGACCTCTCTATTCATATCATAAGGTTGGAAAAGAATCAGTGCATTGGCCACCAGCCCCAGCCCCTATGCCACTATCAGACCTGGGCAGGGAACACGTTAGCTGCTCCTTCCCCAGACCTCGGGTTCATGAGCAGCCTCAGGATGAAGCAGGTACATTGCACCTCGGCTAAGATGACTGAGGGTTTTAAAAATATTTAGATCATTATATAGCTATTCCACAGCGAGAAAATAAAGGAGCAGATAGAATATTTTAAAAATAATGGCTGAAAACCTCCTAATTCTGATTTTAAAAATGTATTCAATACATCCAAGCAGCTCTGCAAATTCCAAGTAGGATAGACACAGAGACACTCACAGACACAGCATAGTAAAATGGCTAGAAGTCAAAGTCGGGGAGAACACTAGGGGAAGCATCTCTATAGGTCATGCTGCAAAGTACAATGTACAAGTCCTACAGCAACCAATAAGGAAATCACAAAAATATTATTAAAGAAGTAAAAATTTTGCACTAGAAAATGAGTGCAAAAGACAGCAGTAAGAAATATAGGAGAATAAAAATGACAAGTAATTTTTTAAAAAAAGAAGAGTATAATTTCAACTATACCCATAACACCACTAACTGTGATTGGATTAAAGAATCCAACCTAAAGGCACAGATCAGACCGAGAAAGATCAAGATCTAACTATCTGTTGTTTCTAGGAGATACACTCTAGATTCAAATAAAAGATGAGGCTGTATGTATGTTAGTGACAAAGCACTTTCCTATCATGTACAAGGCCCAGCAGACATGCATGGGCACGCGCACGCACACACACACACACACACACACACACACAGATGGGGGGATCTATTATGTAAACATCAACCATTAGAAGCTAGATATACTACTAACCAACAAAATAGACTTTAAAACAAAAAATGTTCCTGGCAGCTGGTGATGGTACTGCATACCTGTAATCCCAGCAGTTGAGAGGCTGAGGCAAGAAAATCATTATGAATCATTATGAACCAGAACTACATAGCAAGACACTGTCTCAAAAAAACAAAAACAAAAAGACAAGCAGAAGCAAAAAAATGTTCCTGGGGATGATAAAAAGGCTATTTTGTAATAAGAGGATCAATGTACTGGAAAGATATAACAATTATAAACATTGGTGCACCTAATACCAGAGCACCAAAACACATGAAACAAAAACAAAACTAAAGAAAAATAAATAATTCAACATGTCTACTTCATTATCTCTACTTAATATAATGGTTAGAAAAACCAGCAAGAATGTCAACAGGTCAGACGACAAACAAGTAACTGTTCATGAAGAGACCTAGTAGAGATCTGCAGAATACTCCACCTACAACCAGCAGAGGAGAACCTTCAGTGCATGCAGGACTGTCTCCAGGACAGCCCACATGCTAAATCAGAAATTTAGAAGTTTAGAAGAGATGAAAAAATGCATTTATGTTTTTTGACCACAATGGAATAAAGTTAGAAATCATTAAGCTATATTTGGAAAACACACAAATATGCCAATATCAAACAACACGCTTCTAAATGACCAGTGGGTCAGAGAGGAAATCACAAGAAAGATAATAAAAAACTACCCCCTAATGAAAACAAAGTTACAACATACTAAATCTTGTGGCTCAAACTCGGAGGGAAATTCATCACTGTAAAGATCTACATAAAAAAGGGAACATGAAAAGTGAGTGACATAGTCTTCCAGCTCAAGGGACACGGAGAATAACAAACTAAACCTCAGAAACAAGCTAGGGAAGGAAGGAAAGAGGGTCAGACTGGAAGAGTGGAAGCAAATATTTAAGGCTGAATAATATTCCGTTGCTTAGGAAGACCACATTTTTCCTTTCATCCATCAATAGATAACTAGGTTGCTTCCACCTTTGTGCTATTGTGGATAACAAGAACGTATAATGGACTTATACATCTGCTTTTAAAAAGAAAGGAAATTCCAACCCATGTTACAGGATAGCTGAGCCATAAGGACATGCTAAGTGAAAGAGAGCAAATACTGCATGATTCTATAAGGTCCCTAGAATAGTCAGATTTACAGGGACAAAGCAAAATGGTGGCCATCAAGGGTTTGGAAGAGTGGAGAAGGAGTCATTGGTCAAAGGATTCAGAATTTAGTTTTATAAGATAAAAAGAATTCTAGGATGGACAGCAGTGATGCCTACACAACAATACAAATGCACTTAGGTCCACTGAACTGCACAGTTAAAGAATGGTCAAGAGTGGCTGGGGATTTAGCTCAGCGGCATAAGCGCCTGCCTTGAAAGCAGGCAGTCATGAGTTCAATCCCCGGTACCGATAAAAAGAAAAAAGACAAAAAAAAAGAATGGTCGAGATGCTCGATTTTATGTTAGGCATATTCTACCTCAATTAAAAAAATAAAAGATTAGAGTGCAAAGTAATAAAATAGAAGACACAAAAACAACAGAAAAATCAGCTAAATCAAAAGTTGGGTCGTTGAGGCGTTCAATAAATTTGGCAAATCTTTAGCTAGATTTGTCCAAGAAAATGAAGAAGTGAAAACTCATATTACAAGTTAGAGATGAAAGAGGAGGACATTATTACTGACCTTACAGAAGTAAATGGATTACAAAGGGATACTAGGAGCAATAACATGCCGATAAATTAGATAACGCAGATGAAACAGACAAATTCCTAGAAACACACAAACAATAGTAATTGACTCAAGAAGCAAAAGACAATCAGACTAGATCTAGAAAAAGAAAAGGGACTGAATTAGTCATCAAAAATCTACCCACAAAGGAATGTCCTTAGAGATGAATTCTACCAAATATCGAAAGAATAATTAATAGTAATTCCTCACAGGCTCTTCCAGAACATAGAAAATGACAGACACTTTCCAGGTTATGGAAACTGACACACGATAAATGATGGACGAACCCTCGGAATATTATGCTAAGTGAAAGAAGCCAGTGGCAAAATCTCATGCTATCCTATGATTCCAATTTTATGAGCTGACACTAAAATGTGTTAGGATGGGGTGTGATGCTGCATACCTCACAGTACTCAGGAGGCTGAGACAGGAGGATCACCGTGAGTTCAAAGCCAGCCTGGGCTACAAAGTGAGTTCAAAGTCAGCCTAAACCACCCAGTGAGACCCTATCTCAAAAGACTAGGTAACTAACTAACTAGCTAACCGCATTAAGTTCTTTTTTGAGTAGATAAAAAGGTTTTATAACTGATTGTGATGCGGGTTGCATAGCTGTGTGAAATGCTAAAAATCCTTGGGTTGTACCTTTTAAATAGGTAAATTATTTAGGGAGCGAGCTATGTCTCATTAAAGTGGTTATCAAAAAAGAACATTCAATTTTTATACATTAGACACAATCAACTCTTCCATAATCTTTAATTGTGACACATTTCCTTCCACGGTTTCCACGAGCCTTGTAAACTCGTCCCTTTGATCAGTAAGCCTTATGCTAAGTGCCTGCTGGACACTGACACACAGTGTGGCACACAGGGGTTGAACCCGTGCCATACCTGCCCCCCACAGCTGTTGGCGACACGAAGCAGGAGCAACCTCCAGTTAAACTCCAGCCTGCTGAGCACCACAGAATGGGTGACCCAGAGGAGCAAAGAATAATCAGGCCAGCATCTTCTGAGCGCTCGCTGTGCACCCAGCCCTGTGCTCACCTCCGTCCGTTCACCATGTGTGACGAGGGCAGGGAGAGCCTTGGCCCTTCAGGAGTTCCAGACAAAATCAGGTTTGACCAAAGGAGGGTCTCAACTAGCTCAGGAAAGAAACCAAGACTCCACAGATTGGGCAGGGGGTGTCTTAGCTTGGAGTGGCAAGGTGCACTGAGGTCCCAAAGCCAGAGTTCTAACCCACTTTCTAGCAAGTCCCTCAATACCTCTGGGAGACTCAATTTGTTCAGCTGTGAAATGGGAGCACAGCTATTACCCCTGCCATGTGGTTAAGAGATAGTGCTCTGCATAAAGGAAAAACCAGCTCCGTCCTGCATGGTGCTGGGAGGTGGGACCCTGTGCCTCAGCACATCTCCTCCTCAGTAAAGCTGAGTCCTGCCCTGCCCAGGGCCCCGGCCACACGCAGGAGGATGGAGAGATTGGTGGTGCCCATGAGCTCAGCCAAGGGCTCAGTGGGGAGCATACAGTGTGTGGTGCTGGTTATGGGGGTTTTAAGAACCACCCAGGTCCCTCAGCTGTCCTTGGCCCTGTCCTAGAGACACTTGGGGTGGAGTGGAGGCCCAGTCTCAGCAGTGTCCCTATACTAAGGGCCTCTCATGTACTGTATTTCTGGACGGGAACACAGGACCCTAGTGGGTGTGGCTCGCAAGGAAGCCACCAGTGGATCAGCTCCATTCCTGACAAATTCCCAGGATACATCAGTGGGGCTGTGCCCAGCCCATGAATGAAGCAGAAAGACCTGAGTCCAGCACAGCCACTTCTGATGAACAACAAGCATGCTATCTTGGCCTCCCAGGGCCCTGGACACAGCCCCACCCAACACAATTCTGGCTCCCAACATCTGGAAGGTGACACTTCATGGGTTTTCAGAGCTTCCAGGATTCCTTTGCCATTACATGTATAAAATAAAATGTACCACATTATAAAAATTGGAAAATATGAAAAACTGTAAGAAAAAAATCACTGATAATCTCATATTCGACTTCAAAAAACAGTTGACTGATTTCTTTCCTGAGATTGCAAAGACATATCAGGGAGTCAGGGGCCACCCCAACAGGGGGGTCTTCTTGGTCAGCGGGGGAGGGCGGACTGCTCCTGATAACCTCCCTCTCGGGGCCTCCTTTTCCCCCAAGAGAGATGCCCAGCCCTTCTGCCAGAGACCTTCACCTAGACCCCTCTGAGGGGTGTAAAGTGGGGACGGGACCCTCTCCGCTCCTTTCTACAAGCAGAGGGAGGCAGAGGTGGGGTCTGAGGAAGGGGGTGCACATCTGGATTCCTGGCCCCGCGCCTGCATTCCTTCCTCGTGAGTGTGAGCAGCTGGGGCCTCCGGAGAGCCAGAGGAGGCTGCTGGCCCCGGGCCTCGCCATAATGGGGCCCATCCTGCAGGAGAGCTGCTGGGGACCTGAAGGCCCAGAGCTTTATTTGGGGGGCCCAGTTTAGACCCAGAATCCCCTACTCAGACTGCTATCCCGCCAGCCGAGATGAAGCCAGGCCACTGTTCCAGCCACAGAGGGAACAAACGGTGGAGGCCACCGCGTTTGCCCAAACACAGACCAGCATGGGTCAGAGGCACTGGCCTGCCAGAGAGCACGAGACTATCGGCCACCTTACCTGGGGACAGTCCTTGATGTAGTGGCCTTTGTTGAAGCACAAGTGGCACAGGTAATTGGGCGGAGGCCGCTTGCTGGGCTTGCGGGCTTCTGAGCTGAGGGTCAGGTCCGAGAAGTGCTCGGTGAGCGAGCTCAGGCCGTCGGCGATGTTGTTGAGGGAGCCATAGGGTGAGGCACTCTTGTACACGCTGCTGCTCAGCGCCTGTGGGGACAGAAGCACATTGGCAGCGATGGCCGGGCGATTTTCCCTGCAAATTCACGTGGCGGGCTCGGCTGTCTAAATTCCTGGCTTGAGTTCAAATCCAACCCTAACCCCCGTGTAAGTTCTTGGGTGGCCAGTTAGCCACTCCGGTCTTAATGGCTCTGTCTGCAGCTCAGGAATATGACAGCGGCCCCAGGGAGTTTCTGTCCATGTCCGACACTTAGGAACCCTTCAATCTACAGTGACAGTGACAGTGGCTATGGTTATTACTACTCTCAGTTTTTTACAGCTGCCATGACGTAAGAAGAAAGCTGTCTGTTAGATTTGGGACCCTGCCACTAACTGGTGGAGGGACATTAGGCAAATCGGTGCTGACTCAGTTTCCCCACCAGCTTGCAGCATAGTTTCTATTTTACAGAAAGGAAGGTTGAAGCCCAGCTCTCTGTCTGGTCTCCTGTGTTTAAGAGCCCAGCCTGGCCCCGGCCATTCTTCGGGAGCCAGAAGAGGGAAGTGGCCTACCTCTCCCACCTCCCGATGACAGGAACCAGACACCCCGCCAAGTGTCAAGGCAGACGCGGCCCAGGCCACCTCCCGGTGTACACAGCCTCTATTTATAGGCGTCGTGGGCTCCAGGCGGCCTGACAGGCTGGAACCCAGGGAAGGTGGGGCTTGCGGCGAGGCTGGTAAGGAACAGCCGTGGGTCCCTCTCCTAGGGCAGAGCTGAGGCTGGAAAGAGGACAAGTCCAGGCACAGGGTTTGGCATCCCTGGCACCAATGCAGGTGTCCAGGAGCTATAGAAGTGAGCTGTGGACCTGGGCACCTTAGCTATACCAGGGGCTGTGTTCTTGGGAGTCTTCAGGCTGATGGGGCCCAGGGCCAGTGGAAGGAGGGCCTCACAGCCAGGGTAAATGGGGGTCCAGAGTGGGGACAACGGAGGGAATGAAGGGAGGACAGCTGAGAACTGTGCCCAGAGTGTGGAACACACTGTCTCCTCCCCTGGTCACTCCCTGTGTGTTCATCCTTGCTCTAGGGATAGGTCACTTCCCTCCTAGGGCATAAAACCCTCCTCATTGGGGGAGATGGTACTTCATCATGACACACTGCTGTGTGATCTTGGGCCAGCACTTTCCCTCTCTGGGCCTCTGTTCCTGCCCATGCACTTTTGGATGCCAGCCTGGAATGTAGACGAAAAGAGACACCACATCCAAGGCGGCTCCGGGAGCCCCCAGCTGCAGAGCAGCGACTGTGCATGGATCCTGGAGGCTGTCTCTGCTCTACCACTGTCTGGCCCCATCAAGAAGCCTAGGAGAGGGGCTGGGGATTTAGCTCAGCGGCATAAGCTCCTGCTTTGCAAGTGTGCGGTCATAAGTTCGATCCCCGGTACCGATAAAAACGAAAAAGACAAAAAAAAGAAGCCTAGGAGCGTGAAGCCGGGGGTGACCCTTCAGCTGTCCAATGAACCTGACAGGGAGGGGCCACCCTCAGCAGGCAGAGCGGGAGTCCCTGGGAGCCACTCTATCAGGTGCCAATGGGCATGAGATCTATTGGTGACCCTGGTGACAGCGGAGGCTGGCGCTCCAACTCTGGGTCTTCACACACACGCAGATAGCGGTTCTCACCACTGCACTATGAGTCATGCTCCCCATTCTCCGGATTAAACAAGTGTGTCCAAACTTGCATGGAATGACTTGGGAAACTTGTAACCAAAACAGTTCTCTGGGCCGCACCCTAGACAGACTGAGCACCTCTCAGGACCAAGGGTCTAGAATCTGCATCTTGCACCAAATGGCAAAACAAGTCAATAAAGAATACCATTGGGACTTTGGTGGAAGGCACAGTAGTGGGAATTGAACCCGAGGTCTTTGCTCTGTCCTTTTTCTATTTAAGACAGGGTCTCACGAAGTCATTAAATTGTCCGTGCTGGGCTCCAACTTGCAATGCTCCAGTTTGGGCTGCCCAGAGCACTGAGGTCACAGGCATGCACCACAGTGCCCAGGCCACTATGCCCATCTCAAAGCACACAGTTCAGTGGCAATGAGCATTCACACCATGCAACTGTCATCACCATCCAGAACTTTCTGTCTTCCCAAATGGAAGCTGCCCCGTCAAACACCGGCTCCTGGCTCTCCCCTCCCCCAGCCCAAATGCACACCTCCCAGGCTCCCAGCATGGTGGGGTACCACTGGCCAGAATTATCCCAGCCCAGGAGACCCCACCCCACCCCAGAGCAGCCAGTGTGGGGCAGCAGGGCCAAGCTCCAAACGCTGTGACTCACCCTCACGGCTGGGAAATGCAATTTCACAAATAACAACTGACTTACCCCCCCACCCCATTTCCTTTTTCTTTCTTTCTTTTTTTCTGGATAGGATTTAAGTAAGTCCACAGGAATCAGGGCTGTCTTGGCAGCGAGTTGTTAAGAGGAAGGGGAAGTTTGGTGGATGCCTGAAAATGCACTAATTACACCCTGAAATTCCTCTCCTCCAACTTGTGGCCACACTCCCCTGCCCACGACAGCCCCTCAGGCATCCCGGGCAGCTAGAGGCCTCCAAGCAGGCAGCTCTCTCCGGTGGCTCAACAGCACCCACCCCTGCCTCCCCAGGGTCACAGCTTTGGCCCTCCACACACAGCCTCCCTGACCGCAATGTCCTCCAGCCTGGATGCAGGGGTTGCTGCCTCTAGGCCCAATTCAAGACAAACAGAACTTCAGAGCTAAAGAACAGAGAGCAGACAGCCAACCTGGCCTCAGTTCTGTGTTATGGACAGAGAAACTGAGGCCTAGAGAGGTAGAGGTTTGCAGGCCCGGTCTGGACTAACCACCAGGAGGCCCCTTGCTTGGCCTGCAAAGGGCGGGTGGGGTAACACGCTGTTTCCTCTCCGCAGCCCTGTTTGAGCTTGGGCCATGGAGGTGAAAGGCAAGTCCTGGCTGTTTTCATGGCCTGCGGGCACCGAACAGAGGTCAGGACACGGGGCCAGGTGCTGACCTCTTGCGTTTCCCAACTATGAAACATACAATGGGGCAGCAGGGGAGGCCACACCTGACCAGCTGCAGCCCTGCTATCCTCAGGCACAGGCCTCCGGGTCCTGACAGACACCCTAAACCCGGCACATGTGGACGGGTGGGTGTCCGTCTGGCCTTTGTGCTGGGGGCCAGGCAGGCATGGAGCCTCCATCAGTCAGCCCCAACTCGATCACAGCAAGTGACTCCTCTCAGTGTCCCCAGCAATGTCTCTGCTTTTCTCCCTGGACTGCATGTGCTGCCTCTTCCCAGAATGCCCTTCTCTGTGAACGTGTGAACCCCGGCAGGACCCGGCTCTATGCCTGGCTCCAGCTCCAGCACTGCAACCTCGGAGCCATAACTAAGCCTCAGGGTTCCGGGAATAGTGTGAAAAGCACAGATCCACAGGGTCCTGACCTCCTCCTAGGGCCTCCTGCCATGATCCCTGACCCCCGACCCCCAGCCTCTGCCCTAGGGGGGCACAAAGACCATCGTGCAATGCTGCCTGAGACAGTCTGTCAGTCTGTCGGTGTTAAGGAGTCACTCCAGACTCTTTGGATTGTGACACCTCCTTCCTTTTCCTGCAAGGCTGGGCAGCCCTGGAGGCACCATGCTGTGGCCTCCTGTTGCCCTGGGACCCAGACTGGTTTTGCTGGTCTCTTCTGCCTGTTCTCGGCCCAGGCTGGGAAGGGCCTGGATCCCCACGGGCCAGGAAAGGTATCACCCTAAATGAAAGGTCTGGATTGGAGCCTCAGGCTTCCTGTGGATAGACTGGTTGCTCTGGGTACCAGGTGACAGGTAGAGGCCTCGGTTGGTGACCCTCGCAGCCAGCAGAAAGACTGGGACCCTCACCTGAGATCATCCTCACCTCCTGATCCCATGTCAAGAGGACTAAGTCTCATGCTCCTGCCCATGGCTGGAACTTCTGCATGGGTCTGCATGGCTGCTGGGGAAAATCAGACGGGGTGACACTAGAGTGGTGACTGCACACACATCACACACTGGACTACCTTTCTTCGGCTTTGCTCTCTGCCTGGCAAAAGCATAATCTGGATGATCGCAGTTGGCGTCATTTTATGGACTTGGAAAAGGAGGCTCAGAGCAGCTGAGTCACCCATCCAGGGTAACACAGCCAGTATGTGTTGGACTGTGACATTTCAGCCTCCACACAGCTTCCAAGGCTTGGCCTCTCTTACAAGAAGAGGAGCCAGAGGAAAGTGCCAGATGCTAAGCCCTGGGCTCGGTAAGATGAGGCACCAGATTTTCTGAGTTGTACGAGGGGTTCAGGCCCCAGAGACAGTGACTCTGCTACTGGATATGGAGTGCAGAGACAGATCCTCCTTAGGCACGCATGCTAAAGGGGCTTCTCTTCCCCACAGTGGTCAGAGGGCACCACAGGCCAGGGAGGGTAGTTAGAGCTCTGGATGAAGCCCAGAGGGAGAAGAGATCCGTATAAGAGCTCAGGGGCAGCAGTAGAGTGGGGGTACATGTGCTGGGAGTGACATGGTGGTGGGCGAGGCCACTAAGAATACATTGTGTGCCCGGTAAGGCATCCCAGGAGACTGGGAAAATGCCCATGCTGAGTCCTGAACCCAGATCTCTCTAATACTAGTCCCCAGATCTGTGGGGTTCTTTCTGCTGGCCACACAACTGCTTTCCTATCCCCAAAGCTGCCCTATCCCTTGTTATGGCTTGTGTCTACATGCACCCTCCCCGCAAGTCTCACGTGGTCTTAGATGGAGCTTTTTCAGAGGTAGCTGGATCTGCAGTGTGTGATGCTGGGATTAAGGACGTGTGACTAGTAAATCAGTCCGCTGATTGGTTTGGTTTAGTTCTGGCTGGGATTAAGGGTGTGAGTGTACACCTGGCCTAGGGCAGGTAGCCTGTATACCAAGTAAGGAACAGAAAGAGGCTTATCTTCCCTTCCCTTGGTTGCTTTTGCTGTCTTCTGCTACCCTGAACTCTTTCTCCTCTGGAACGCTCCTCTGTCATGCCACCCTGTCTT